AGACACTCCACCGACGGTGCTACCCAGATGCCACCCATGTGCCCCAAGGAATGCATTAATATTACTCACTCAAAATATTTTGTTGAAGGAGAACAACAAAAAGGTTGAGGCATTTTATGAAAAGTTAAATGACACCCTTTGCTGGGCACTGGCTCACTTGCAAGCTGAGAGAGAGGAGAAGGTCAAGGATCAGGACGTGGTAGGAGTTGGTTGTTGCGTTTTACCTTTATGTGGCTCCGGGAGCCTTTTGGTTCATTGGGTGAGGTGAGTGCAGCATCCTCGCCTGCTGTTTAACACAGTAGAGAGTGGGGATCTGGGCACTGAAACTTCTACAGAGCAGTGAGCTGGGATTTCACCTAGAACCACCATGATGAGGTTTGCTCTTTCAAGGACTAGGAAGTATGGTTGACTTCACGGCGAGGTAACGAACCCCTCATTCAGCCCTGCCCTCCAAGATCTGTAGAAAATCCCCACAAGATACTTGGGCGATGAAGGGCGATGGCTGGCCCAATTGTACAGTGCCTTCCTCTTAATGCCAAACAGAGCATTTTCAATGTGAGGAGGGGAAGATGTGTATATATGTATGTATGTGGATATATACTTGAATGGAAGCCACTAAGAAAGGCATTTGTGAGTTCTTTGACTGGAACTATTTTCCACTTTGCTTACTTTCTCCTGATTCTCTTATGCCTTAAGGGCTTTCTTTGTTGCACTGCATGACCCTGTCCTGTTAGGCACCCTCACATTGTTCTGTGATCATGATGTCTTGAATGTGTTTACTCATATCTGTCTTAAAGGGCCAAGATGAATTGGAGGATGGAGAGCAGAGAGCCTTGAGGGCCAAAAAACGAGCACTGCAGGGTATGTTATTTTGGGGGAAGAAATCCCCATACGGTGGCAATGAGTTGGCATTGGGAAGGGAAAGAATGCCTTCCTGCCTTCAAGGTCTTGCCCTTCTCCTTTCCCCGTCAAACCCAAGTTCTCCGGTCATGTGCACATACATACACATTCCTTTCCAGAATGTGAGGAGCTATTGGAAGACCACTGCAATGCCCTCAGTTCTTTGAAAACAGCTCAAGAAGCCGAATTGAACATGCTGAGGAGGAAAGTGGATATTGTTGTGGATTTCTCTAATCAAAGACAGGTGGCTGCAGAAGGGTAAGCTCTTCCTGTGTGAATTGTCACAAATACTGTTGTGTGAAGTTATGTGACGGCCTGTCTAGGTACCTGTATTTCTTTTAGAATTAGATCTCGAGTATTTTCGCCAAATGCATTCTGTAGAATTGTGCCTGCCTGTCCTGCCTTTATGTGTGTAACCTGCATTTCCCTTTCTGTGCTAACTGCTTGTCGCGCTTGTTGTGTGACTCCTTGGAGTAGAAGAGGGAAGGTACCATCATTACAAACTTTGATACCTGGATCCCCTCTGGGTCTGTCTGCATTGTCCTTTGGTTTCAGTGTCATCTCATGTTCTTGTCAGCCCTATATTCAGTCAGTTTTGGTTCAGTACGAGACTTGGGTCAATAATGTGGATAGAAAAATGGAATTGTCTTGCTGCAGTAACTAACACTGGGGGTTTCTTTTTGGAAAGAGGGTTGGGGCTCCAGCAGTCCCGGATCCCTTCATGCAGTGTACAACTGACATCCCTCACTGTAGCCCAGTCCCTGAGAAGGCCAGGGTATTTCCCATCCACCTGATTTTTTTAGGTGTAACTCTCTTGGGTCCCAGCCAAAGCCCGCGGTTTCACTAGGGCTCACCTTTGCTGGCTGACCCTGAAGATCATTCGTTTCCTTCTAAGCCCATGCCCATAAGGTTGTTCAGCTTCTTTATAGTTCACTTGCCTCTTCCAGAATGTATTGATGTGTCCTGGGGAGATTGGCTCCCACTGCCAGGCTGCCTTTCTCCTAAGCTTCCTTCTTCTCCATGTGGTTCTCATGTTTCTTCGTGTGCTCTTTAGAAATTGGGTGCATTCACTCATATGAGTTGGCTCTTTTGTCCAGTGTTTCCTTTATTTTCTCAGGAGGAGATCAGGACCTTAGAGTCCCTCATTCACGTGGAAAAGCAAAACTGTTCCTGGTCTTCCCTGGAGAGTGAGCTTTGTGTTATTCCATCCCACATCGGGGGTGGGGGCTGCTCTGTGTCATTGGCATCTTAGTTCTGTTCATTGGTAATTTCTTTTGGGCATAGGTACAGTGTCCTGACTATCTTTCGGGCTTCTACACCTTCCACGTGAGCCACTCCCATCACAGCCGCTCCAGAAGGCATTTGCTGAAGAATTGCCTGAGAGACCAGAAGCAAATGCATGTGTCTTTCTCTGTCTAGAGCTTTTGACTCAGTTTCTAAGAGTCTTTTTGCATGTGTTCTTGAGTAAATCCGGGGTCCTGTTGCAAGTGGTTAAACCAACACCATGAACAAAAGAGTCTGAGGGCAGCACAGCAAACCAGCCTTTCTAAGCATCCTCCTTTGCTGCTTTCACTATCAGTGAACTCAGTCTTGTTAAAGTCGGTTGACTCCATGCAGTTGATAGTTTTCCATCTGAAATCTGTTGCGTGGAAATAACACCCTGACTATGTGACAGTTCGCAGAGTTTTATACTTCAGGACGTATTCCCGGAAGTATGATTGGCCTTTTCCTCCTCCAGGATCTTCGAAGGAGGCGGCGGGTTGTATTTCTAGATGCTAGAAATGTCTGGGAGTGAGTCGCCATGCCAATGAAGCCATATTCTGGAAGCCTTCTTTTCAGGTTGATTGTCTGTGTCAGGCACAGCCTTGGTCTGAGGATCAGGGTTCCCCATGGAGGTGTAAGACTAAGGATCGTCCCCTGCTTCATCCTAATGGGTATAGTTGGTCAAGCATGGTTTTTCGCTTTGATCTGAAAGGAACCCTCAACGTCTCAGACAAAAGACCAACTCTGAGATGGCACGAAGTGCAATGTTATTCGGGGGCCTGATGATGAATGAATTGAAGTAGAGAAGTATAAAGGCAACTCTGATTGCCGGAGCCTTGGCAGCTTCCAGAGTTTGATTTCTCTTTAACACTAAATGGGGCCTTCAGGTTGTTTCCCTCATTGTGTTGTCAGTCTGTGCATTTATGGGGGTCATTTGAATCTAGGCCATCAGGTGTGTTGGGAGGAAAAACGGCAGCAATTCAGGACCTTGGCTACTGGACTGTGTATATACCTTTCCCATCTTAGGAAGCTGGAAAATACACACTGTGAACTGAAGGCACAGAAGAGTCAACTGGCAGCTGCTGAGGAAAATTTGAAACTGGTTACCGAAGAGATAGACAAGTATAAGTGAGTTCAGACACTAAATATTAGCGGCTCCTGAAATCCCTGTTCACTTCCTATTTTTAATCTTTGTACATGGTTTAGACTCAATTAACAAGTAATATAAACAAAAATTCAGAGGCCATATCCAGAGAGAATTAACGGACACAAAAAGACAAGTTTTAGAAAGATCAAAACAATTATGTTACTAAACATGTCCGGATCCCCAGCGCTGGCCTGACTCTGTGGAAACTTCCGCCATGCCATTCCACCCCCCAGGGGTGGTTTCAGTGGTCCTAATCTTGAGGAAAGCAGTTTGTCGTAGGATGAATCCTGCCCTTGAACCCGGTAGTGCCATCTGATGGCGCGGTCTTTGCAACCCTGGGAACCATGGCGAGCATAGATGTTAAAGGACAATAGAGCTTCATGGTAAAAGCTCCTTGTCATGTGATAAATCAGGGAACGATTGACATCAGGTAAGGAAATTATGTCAACTCTGAACCCTGCAGGTGTGGAGAAACGAGTAAGGAGAGGATGTAACGATAGCTTTGATCCTACTGTACATTTGTTATCATGGGAAAGTGTTTCCTGTGTCAGGATAAATCGTATGAGGGGACAGATCAGAGGAGGATGGCCACATGGGCAGGTGATTTCAAATCACACCCAAGGGGCGCCTGGTGGCTGTCGTTAAGCGTCTGCCTTCGGCTCAGGTCATGGTCCCAGGGTCCTGGGATCAAGCCCCGCATCGGGCTCCTGCTCTGCGGGAAGCCTGCTTCTCCCTCTCCCACTCCTTCTGCTTGCGTTCCTTCTCTCACTGTGTCTCTCTTTGTCAAATAAATAAATAAAATCTTTAAAAAAAACCTAAAATCACAGCCAATATTGGGCTTTATCTGACAAAAGCAATTATATCTCACAGACAAGAAATTGGAGAAATGCAAGATCGGCTACAGAAGGCAGAGCTCAACTTCAAACTCAAGGTAACCTAGGTTCTGCCCCTACATACTGGCCCCTTCGTGCCTCCTGCAGGTGATGGAAGTGGCCCTTAGATCCCTGAACATGGGCTCTTGGTGAATTGATTTTTCAGGTCGCAGCTCATGAGAGAAGTGCTCTAGATAATTGGGTAAGTGTTTTCTTTTTCTTCCTCTTTGTTTGGGGCACAGTCCGGCACAACTGAGGGTGGGTGTGTTTTCCTCCCCCAGGTGAAGGCTCGGTTTTGGGAGAGGAAGATAGTGCAGCAGAGCAGGGAGAACACCTACATGAAACACAGGTGTGTGAGTTTGACGTGCCTTTGTAAGGGT